GTGCTAGGAGCATGGTGGGGGGCGGGGAGGGGGAGACACCAAACTGGCGCGCATGGCCGGCGAGTGATAGGGACGCCTGGCCGCGCCATCCGAGACTCAGAATGTGACTCATTTGGACTCACGTGTCGAGGCTGACTGACTAGCACTCGAGGATCTCTTTATGCTTTCTAGTTGAAGAGTCCCTGCTTGCGCTTCGCGTGCTGCGGGGCGGGCGCAAGTGAAATGCGACGACGACGACGGTCGGTGAGTTACCGACCGGGTACGGCGGCACTGCGGCTGATGCAAGCGTCCCCCGCCGCCCGTCGGCCACGCCCCGCGCGATGTTCGGGGTCGCGGCCATGCACGGACGGCCTTGGCCAGCGTCGTGATCCCTCGGCGTCAGGAGGGCGGCGGGCGCATACCTTGTTAGGGCCGTCGTGCGCGTGCCTTACGTCAGTGTTGTCTAGTTGGGCGTAAGGGGTAAGGGTCCTTGTGCCGGCGGTGTCGTTTTTCCTCCGCAAGAAGGCGGGGTTTAGCTTTCGCGCGCGCGGGATTTTCGAGGCACCTCCGCATGACCCCCTGGCCAGGCGTGTGCCCCAAAATAATTGCGACCTTGACAAAATTTCGGAAACTGTCCTCATATTTATTCAAAATTCCAAAAACATGAAATAAAATAAAGAGCTACATGCCACAAGAATAGGATTATGGCATTGTTTTATTGGCTAATGGCTGCTAATCATTTTTGAGAAAAAATGTCAGTTCAGGTAAAGATGATGGCGGTTATCACATCACATAGAGTCTATGGGGTCTATGTCATAGACGTCGCGTCGTGATATGGGTGGGTTTGGTTTCACCAAATAAACTTTATACGAACACAATACTTCGCACGCCACTGCTGGCCGTGCTTTGTTATATTTTGGGACCTAAAAACCTGACACCGCGGCTGCTAACGAGTCGTCTTTGGCGGGGCGGTCTCTGTACGGGGGACGCCTCTGCTCCGCGGTGCGGCGTGACCCTGGGCGCGCCCGAGGTGTGACTGCGGCGGCCCTGGACCAAGGATGAGAGCGGAAGCCGCATCGGGCCGGGTGCTTTCTCCCCTTCCTGCTCACGGCGAGCTCACGATGACGCGGGAGGGGG